ATCGATAACAAACACAACAATAACAACAGCAGCAACAAGTTGAAACTCGTGTAATGTGCCTTTCCCTAGGACACAACGTCGGACCGGCTTACACTTGAACTTGAACAACTGAAGCCACAACCTCACGGTTACGGGTCCGGTAGCCTAACCATTAGGCCACCGACGTCACGCCGATGATTAAAATTTTGAAAACTCTCTACGTTACATATTATTATTATATAAGCACGCACTTGTTATATTACTCATTCCAGTGTCTTGACTAGCGGGGTTTTTTTTTTTTGGAGTAGAGGTTAGACGCTCGGCTGTCGCATGTTGGAGACCCGTATTCTATTCCTGAATGAGGAAAATGTTTATCCCATATTATCTGCTTTCTTTTTGCTTGGATGGTGTATCCCTCTCACCAGGCTTGGCCCAGACAAGCAGGGTCGGAAGCCTGCCTCCTAAATGATCTAAATTGTGTCGATGGGGAAGTAAAATCGCCTACATTAAAAAAAAATTAAAAAATAGTGTTTTGTTGAAACACATTCTGAATGCAGATCACTGAGTGAAGAATGTAGAGCCGCCTTGTTGCTCACGTTAGTTTTTTTATAGCGTAAATCGTTCCCCGATTTTTAATGGAAAGAAAACAGAATGTATAGTAATCTAAATTTTAAAGAGCAATAGATCCTATTTCTAATTACGTAACCAAAGATAGAGGTGGAGACAGAAATTAAAGATGAAACTAGAAGACAGAACATGGTGAGAGAGCAGGAAAGGAGGTGAAAGGAGAACATTTTGGAGAAGAAAATTAATCATCGCTGTCAGGTTTCGAACTCGGGACCTATTGAATGAGAGGCGACCACCGTACCTCTTTACCAGGAGAGCCCCCTGAACCGGCGTCTGTGGTGTAACGGTTAGTCGCTTCGCTGTCTCACACCGAGAACTCGAGTTCGATCCCCTATTGGGGAGAAAAATTTTCTCAAGATTTTGGACTTTGAGCTAAGATCTTGTATCACTCTCAACTTGGGTTGGCCCTGACAGGCAGGATTGATGGGAGCCCGCCTCTCAAATTATCTAGATCTAAATTGTGTCGATAGGAACATCTTATCGGCGGAAGTTAGATTTTTTTAAACAGAAGGAAGCAGATTTATAGAACAATTAGGATGCGAAGCAGTATCATAACAAGAACACAGCGGATTGTGACTCATTGACAATTACAAATGTTTAAGCCCCGGGTTAAAACAATTTAAATCATTTTGGAGGCGGGCTTATTGTTTGATCCAGCCTGTCAGGGGCAATTTGTGCAGATTGGACACAAAATCCCACCAGAAAGGCAAAACTACTCGATAATATCAACTAGTCCAAGTAGATTTGGTGACAAACTTAAACACTTCACTGCCCAGGCCCGAGAATTGAGTTATGGAGCAGGTCAAAGAGTAAAAGCGAATGAAAGCGTTTCATTTAATCTCCTTTCATTACATTCAGATATGAAAATGCATTGAAGGCTTCTGTTTCGTTTGAAGTAATGGGTTTGGTCAAGTCGCTGTCCCCTCTCAACCGTCAACACTATCGACCCCACAATGTAAGCGACAGAGGACAGAGAACGCGTGCTGATCTCGTGGAGACATTAACCTTTGTGTTTACAAAACACTGCCGTCACAATCTCAAAATCTTTTTTTTTTCTTTCTCTCAGCCACACGAAATTTGTGGATTAGATGAAGGAAAAGCTAATTACCTACCTTTAGAGATTAAAAATTAAGATGAGGATGAGGGGTTGGAGCAGGATAAGAATGGTTTATTTCTTCGGGGTAAGGCAGTGAAGGGATTTACCAACCGCAGGAGCCTTTTTTTAGAATACAATATGTAGTTTCCATTACCAATGTGAACAAATAATATTACAGTTATTACTCTTTTTAAAAATATTTTTTTAAATATGAGGGGTTTTCTTCTTTTGGGGGGGGGGGGATGTGGAGTTTTTGTTGTTGTTATTGTTGTTGTTGTTGTTGTTGTTGTTGTTGTTGTTGCTGTCTCTTTGAAAAGATTGAAAAAGACGTAACAGAATGTTAATCATTTATGGACGTACAAGGGGAAACAACTTGATCTTTTACTACAGCAACCACTGCTTGTATTTCTTGGTTGCCTCCCATATCAATTGTGTATATTATTATCCTTACGAAAGCTCAACGTGTTTGTCTTTCATGTCTGTCAATAACATAATGTAATTTGTATGAATATGTGCCTGATGGACTGTTTATCTGTCTATCTATAACATCGCCTTTTTCAGATAGAAAAAGGACAGGTGGATGTTTAAAGAGATATGCCGACAAACATCACGAACAGGCAGATAGATAGATAGATAGATAGATAGATAGATAGATAGATAGATAGATAGATAGATAGATAGATAGATAGATAGATAGATAGATAGATAGATAGATAGATAGTCCTAA